GAAGAGACGAACCACCCTTCAGCGATGATTGATTGTTGCTGTTCATTATAGAGGAAGCCTGGATTATTAAGATAGACCAGGGAAGTAAATCTTGATTAGTTAACTGACTGCATCTTACCCTTGCTAGTTATGATCAATCTTAATAAGAATAGTAATAGTAATGACATAAGAAATCCCACCACTGAGATCGAACGATTCTATTTAGCGTTGGTTGAATCTTTTAATTCCCTTCAGCAATTTTTTTCTGTGGAATTTTGTTTTATTAAGAAAACCAGAAAAAACATATTGCTTTGTGTAGACCCCAAAAGGCTTATCCAGACTTTCACACCAAGAATAAGAACAGTCCAGTGGAAATAACCTAGAGCTAGATCTTAAAAGGCTTGGTTTCAACATCTGAATGGAAACAGATTTTCTTCGTGGCCTCCCCAACTTGTCATCTGCATGGATGTCAACACTTTCTCTCCACCTCATGGGGATTCTGCAAGAGCAAAGCCCATGAATGACTGTGAGGCTCCTGGATAATCTAGTGAAGACACAGGAATGGGGCAGATCTCCCCTAACTATAGGTGCCCATTAGTGATGATGCCTACAGAGGATCTAGTCACCATAGGCTCTTTTCGTAGTCACTGTAGGTGAACAAGCCCTCAGCTCACCATATATAATGATCCACCTTAAGACGGGATGAAATGTTTTTTCTCACTACTGACAATAAAAGGTAATTGAGTGACTAACTCAGATACAAGCATCTACCCTGCATATAAATATGTGAATCCCACCATGAAGTTTTCTTGTAGCTGCTGTCTGCTCCCATCTATTCCAGGAGCAACCCCTGCTCCCTTGATGGTCCTGGCTGGCAAAGAAAGCCTGCTGCTGTACGGAGAGGAATGTTGAATCTGGTAGATGGCTCAGCCAGCACCTAGATCTGCATGTTGGCAAAACAGCTTGGTTAACCAGGGGTCAGGCAGTGACCCAGGTGACAGGCCATCCACTGAAAACAGTGACACAGATGGCTACTGGCCCACTGCTGCAGAAGGTCTGGACAGAGACCAAAGATTTAGCTTACTCCCATTTTCCAGATATTCTTGCTGCAAGGCAGTTGTCCATTTGGGATTGGCCAACAGGATATTTCTATGCTTCTGCAACAGCAGAGAGGAGAAAGTTTTGCAACCCTCTTAGCTGCAAATTCCCTTCTTGGGGATGATCCTGGATATCACAGTAGCAGGTATCACCTCATGCTAAAGCATTCAACGTTATTGCAGAGCAAGCCTATTGAGAGCACACCCTGCACAGAACACCTCTGCCATGTCACTACTAGCAAAAAATAGAAGCTATTTCAGGTCGAGTGTTGCAGGGACAGACCATAAGTCTGAGAGCATTACACATGCCTCTCCAAGGCATGGAAGAAACATGTAACACATCTGCGGATCACTGATGAGCAATTATGCAGTTGTGGGGAGCAACTGGGTAAGAGGGATGAATTCAAACTATGCCTGAACAGAACCAGCTGAAAACATTAAGGATCCAAGCTTTATTGGCAGAACAGGGGATATGTCCTGGCAAAGAAATTTTTGTTATTGTTGTTCCTGCTCTGGCAGGGGGTCTGGACTAGATGATGTTTTGAGGTCCCTTCCAATCCCTAGCATACTGTGATACTGTGACACTGTGAAAGAATGATGCCGGAAAAGATCCGGATCCGAAGACTAAGACAGATAAGCAATGCAACATAAGCTTGGGATGCCACCAGGACTCTGGGTTATGGAATTTGATCACAGATGTGGCAGGCTATGACTGAATATCATCCTGCCTGCCAACTTCCCAGGTGTCCTCTTCAAATTGGTGAGGGTCTTTGTCTTTTCTGCTCCAGTGAGGAAAGTGACAGGGAATAGCTGGGAGATGATTTCACTTTGGGAAGAGTGTTGGTGTATGAACAGCACTGGAAAATCCGTTACACAACCCAGCTGTCAGCTTCCTAAGCTCTGCGTGATGAGCCTGCAGATGGTTCAGAGAGGACATATCTGCACAACTACTCCAAGATTTAAACTGTTCAATCTTTTTAGCTTAATAGAAGGGCCCTCATGAAGAAAACATTGTCTAATCTAATGGAGAAGATTAGAATGAGAAACAGAAGTCAGACAGATGCAAATTAAACATAAGGCACCTGGTTTTGACCATGTGATGATTCATCGTTGGAACTAATGACCAAGCTTCCATCTGAGTGTCTCCACATCAAGGTGGATGTCTTACGGTTCAGCTAAATTTCATGTACAGTGTTCAGTATAGGTTCAGTATAGCATAATGGTATAATGTAGGGTATGCAGGAAATCTGATTGCCCCTTCTGATCCTACAAAAGTGACTCTTTCATTCATTCTGGCATTTGAAGTAGTGGAACCATATTTTCAAAAAAAAAATAGACAATCAGGTTTTCACTGTATCTGAAACTTTCTTGTATATCCTGTAACAATTTATCCCCCTTTTTACTGGGAATATCATTTTTATTTCATAGTTCTGCCCTTTCCCTTGTGGTGGACCCAAAATCTGGTGTACAAATTTTGGAGGCTTCAAGTTATTAGTGGGGGGATAACATCACACATTCTTGCTTTCAACAGAATCATCTTAGAAGTAGGATTCTATATAAGGTATCATATTTTACATCCCAGCTTTGCAGTAAGATACCTTTCAGCATTTTCACAGCAACTATCCTGCATGTTGGTGATTTCTTAATTCCAAAAGCAGATGCTTGTACCACTTTTCCAAATGCTCCATGTCCAAGAGACTTCCCTGTAAAGAAAATAAATTTGAGACATGCATTCTGGTAAGAAAGAAATCTTGTCAGCAAACATCTTCATACATAACGAATTGAAAAAATACGATTTACAATGAGCCACAGATATATATACTTTCAACATACAGGTGGTTTAGATTTATTGTTTTGGTATGTTGGGGGTTTATTTTTAAGAATAAGCAGACAAACCAGAAGGCAGTCATCAGAGGGAAAAAGCAATATGATTGAAAATTATGCTACGTGAATGCAACCATTCAGTGGAGATACAGTGGCTTGTGATATTATTTTTTTCAGTTTGCTCTGCCAGAGAAAGATTTGCTGCTCTTTCCCCTGAGCACACTGCACCTGAGCACACTGCACCACAGCAGGCTGTGACACCACTAGTTACGTCCTCAGAAACACAAGGCCTCTCACTAATCTTGCACACACACTAAGATGCAGCTTGCCACAGATTTTGGTAATTTTTACAAATGAAATTCTTCCTTCTTGACCACGGTGCCTTATAATTATCTTCATTCCAGGGAGGCAGCAGCAACTTTGCCTCGCAATCCCTGGAGTACATGCACAACCCTCTGATGCTCTTCCCTAGCTGGCCCTTGTAGGTTAAGATCATGGAGTGGTGAGAAGCTGCAAATCTGTGCAAATGAGACATTTACACTTGTAAAATGAGGTTGGGGAGGGGGGATTCAGCGCGAGAGGCCTTGGGGTGACAAATGATGGATTTTCTCATGGTGGGTATGATGCTGCCAAGTGTCCAAGAGTGGACATTTGTGCTATATCATCAACATGCTGCTACTGAGCAGACCCCAGGAGAAGCATCCAGAGGTCTTCAAGATAAATCAGTGGGCATCAATAAAATTCCAGCAGTAGAAGCTGAGTGTCCTTTTCCCTCATGTTCAGAACAATCTAAGACTCCAAGTGTACTGTTGTAACTTGTCTGGAGTTCATGACATTTTATGCCAATCTTATGATCTTTGCAGCCTCCTTCATGATTTATTAGTATTTGAAACAGGGAGTATTGACCACATCTTGGACATATTAACTACATCTACATTTACTGTGCTCACATGGACAGAACTGGCTGCCTCTGCCCTTCTCAGATGGCTGGTAGAGTTTTGACCAGAGATGACCAGAGAGATCTTGTCAGCATATCAGCTAGCAATAAATTTTATTTCCAGGTAGCTATTTTGAGATTGTATTTGTGCTTCACCTTCAGCAGAACCCAGACACTTCAGTGGTTAGCAAGGGTACAGCAGCAGACTTTTAGGTGTAGAGGAGAAGAGCAGAAAATAAAGGCCAGATTTTTGCGCCAAAGCAAAGGATAACATGTGCCATATATTTATTTCTAACATATGCACATGTGACATAGTCATCTCCATCAGACAATTTCCTTTTCCTATGATGGACAATCTAGCTCTCACTTGGACAGCTCTCACTTGTCTAGCTCTCACTTGGACAGCTATTTTGTTGATATCTGTGTGAGAGATGAATCCCATCCAGGCACTCACAAGCAGACAAAAAGAGCTGCTGTCAGTTCTGAATTAAATACCTTCTAAATGTGTATCACACTTCTAAACTATAATTCTCAGTATGTCTGTCAGTAAAGGCAAATAGCATATGTTATCAAAGCAATGGAAACACGAATTGGAATATGCTAAGCCAAAAAAAAACCAACACAGAAACTTATTTCCTCCCTAGTTATGTGAGTGTTGCATTTTTTACAGGAAATAAAAAACAAGAAGAACTTCATCTACATGGCTGAAAAGCATCAACAGACTGAGCCTTGGTTTGTGAAGGACTTAGGTGTTTGACACAAATATAGGTGAATTATTGTATATTTTTTAAAATCTAGAGTCACCTTTTTCAGTCATTGCATATAGCTTCTTCATTCAGCAGATGTGCAAAGGAAGCAACATTAGGACTAAGGTCTCAATTTTCTTAGTGCATTGATGTTCTTAGTTCCTTAATGTATTTACTGTTTATACCTTCTACAAGATGAAGCTGCAGCTTGAGGTCCTATAAAACCCATCATACCTTTGTTTAATCCATAGCTTTAATCTGTTTTCATCACTGCTAACTCACTTCCCACATCAAGATAACCTACTTAGTCACTACTTGGAAAAAATACCAGTCAGCTCATAAAGCTACACACAGCTGCTAACCTTTTATAAAGGAGAATGCACACTGGAAACAACACTTCCTTCTCTAAACAACAGTTGTGATTTAATGGGAAACTGTAATAACACTTGATATATTAGTTTTTGTGGCTCTGCTATTGTTTGTACCATGCTAAATGTTACCACAGAATAAGGCTGCGTGCATGGACTGAACTCCACAGTTCAGTATGTAGGTTATGCCCAAGACTCCAACAGATTGGTCTTGCAACTTTGTGGGGTTGACACATGTATAACCACCACTTTGTGTGGTTAACAGAGAAAGTGATTACAAAATTATTAGATGGAGCAATTAAAAAAAGGAACATTAAGTTGCCCAACCATCTGAGTAGTTGACTGGCCACAGCCTTCACGCAGCTACACTGGTCATGTTAGGGGTAACATTCAGGTATGAAGTGTTGCAGCACCTACATCCAGACCAAAGAAAAAAAATGCTCTGCTTAAATTTTCTGCATTTGACTTTGGTTGCTTGGGGCAACTCAGGACTCATTAAAGTGAACATACCCCTCAGTCAAGGAGTTTTGGATTACGAGGTTTCCACTCCAGTCCCATTTTAGCAGGGTTCTTCAAGCATGCGAGTTACTGGCCTAGGGCATCAGCAAAAAAGCACTTGCAGACACTGCTCTCCATGTCTGCAGGAAGGCAGAGGCTCAAGAGGTATGTTCATTTCTCAGGTCCTTTGCCACAGTTTGAGTCATCTGGGTTTTCCCCACATGCAGCTTGATATTTTCCATTAGACAGCTCTGCACATGGAGGAGAACACTCCGCTCGGGGCCAGCGCTGTGGGCTTGCAGAGGACAGGAGAGAGGAGGGGCTCAGGAAGCCATCTACCAGCCAGCCGCATGTTTGACATTGCGCCGCAGCCATGTGGCAACACTCCCTCGGGGTCCAGCACCACAGCGTCAGCAGGGTGTGACCTCCCATAGATTAGGAAAGTCAAGCCCAAGAGTAAGGTGAGAAATGTGTGATAGCTCAGCTAACACTTACATTGGACTGCAATGTTACCCTCGACTGCACTGACAGTGATTTGTGGCACCAGCATTTTTCCACCTAATGAAAAGATGACATTTTGCTCTCGGTCAGACTAATCTATAGTGAAGGTTAATTATCCGGACTTCACTGGTGCCCATATGAAATTTCCTGTAACGTCTGTAGCTCTTACAGCTGAAGGGGCAGTCCTGTTATATAAGTGTTGCATCACAGCCGTGGGCTCTGTGTACGTGTGTTGGAGGAACACACAGCAAAGGAGATGTGGGCTGAGAGACTTGTTTGCAAAAGATACAATAAATATGTGTCCTGGAGGATAAGTAGGTGGAAAGAGAAAAACAGATATATCTGATGCTGGAAGGGGTTGCATTTCTAAGGAAAAATATTTTTAAAAAACCATAGAAGCACATTTTGTGTTTGTGAGACACTAATCCTCAGAGACTGCCAAGGTTACACAAAGACTGAGCCAATTGCCATGTAAGCAGGACTTGCACTGAGCTAATCTAGCATACTGCACATACCCAACTTCTCTGAATCTGGTTCTCATTCATTGTCAGCATTCTTTATTTGTTTACACCAGTTCTTCCACTTTTAACTCATTCTCTGGTCATCATTCCTCACCTCCAGACTCCAAACACCAACGCTGCAAGATGTGGTTTTTTTCTTGGTGTTTGCATTCCATTTCTGCTTGATTCTTTCCATGGGATTTGCACAAACAAAAAAAGCATTGCATGAAACAGCGATCACATTGTCCGCCCATCAGGCTCTTAGTCCATCGTTGTAAGAAAACTATTTGAAGACTGAAGACACTCCAGCACAAGGTTATGTTTCAGCATTCCCAGAATTGTGTATGACAATTATAAATCACTAGAAATGTATTTCAGCTGCTCTTATTCACATCTGGTCACCTTGTGACTTCTAAGAGGCAAATTAAGTGTGATCCTAATTGTATGCATGTTTTAATCATTCTCTGTCTCAGTCCCCAGAGGACAGAAGGAATCTGTTACAGATCCTAGCTAAAATGCAGGGATTTTCTAGACCTTGCTGTAGTGCATGCCTGAAAGTACAAGCAGCACTATAGCAGCAGGCTGAGCTTATCAATGATATTTTAATGTTGACCTTTTTGCAAAGATCTGTATGGTTTCTGGAGGGAATCCTTAACCTCAAAATCTGATCCATGCCCTCCTGCCTCACACTAGACTTAGGAAGTAAAGAATGGTCTCAAACTCATGCCTTTCACTGGGGTGTCTGTAGGAGACATAGCTGTTGGTTCAAAGTTTCCACGGATATTTATTTATTTATTGAGTCTTGTGTCACAATCTCGCACTTTACAGTGCACCAGGAAGAATGTTTATAAATCTGCAGCACAGAGGGAAAACCAGGAGAGTGTGCTGGAGAGAGGAGGAAAGGGAGAAACAAGGAATGAGGACCCATTTCTGCATAGGCTTTTTTTTCCAAATGAGTACATAACCAGGTTACAAGGGAGGAAGATTAAAGTAAATGCCGAAGGTCAGTCTCCTGAGTCTTGAGAGAGTAGCATCCAATTCAGCGGTCTGATCTGGAAGCCGTTGCTTACTCTGTTTTTATGTCACGGTTTAAGTAAATCAGTCTCAAAAAAGTAAAGTGCAGCATTCTTCTCCGTATTCTCCTTCTATGGCAAGGTGACCCAGTTAGTGGTTGAGGGAAAGGCTCTGGATGTCATCTACCTGGACATTAATAAAGCTTTGGACACTGTTTCCCACAGAACTCTCCTGGAGAATATAGCTGCTTGTGGCTTGGATGGGTGTACTCTTCACTGCGTATAAAAGCAGCTGGGCGGCCAGGCGCAAAGGGTGTGGGTGGCCAGTCACAAGTGTTCCCCAGGGCTTGGTATTTGGGCCAGTTCTGCTTAATATCTCTATGAATGATCTGGACAACAGGATGAAGTGCACCCTCAGTAGCCTTGTGAATGACATGAAGCTGGGCAGGAGTGGAGATCTGCTGGAGAGTAGGGAGGCTCTGAAGAGGGACCTGGAAAGGCTGGATCAATGGGCCAAGACCAGTTGTACGAGGTTCAAGAAGGCCAAGTGCTGGGTCCTGCACTTTAGTCACAACAACCCCCGGCAGCGCTACAGGCTTGGGGAGGAGTGGCTGGAAAACTGCCAGGCAGAGAGGGACCTGGGGGTGTGGATGGACAGCCGGCTGAGCATGAGCCAGCAGTGCGCCCAGATGGCCAAAAAGGCCAATGGCATCCTGGCTTGCATTAGAAATGGTGAGGTCAGCAGTACCAGAGGAGTGATTATGCCTCTTTACTGTGTATTGGTGAGGCCGCACATTGAATTGTGTGTTCAGTTTTGGGCCCCTCACTCCAAGAAAGATATTGAGGTGCTGGAGCATGTCCAAAGGAGGGCAACAAAGCTGATGAACGGGCTTGAGCACAAGTCTTATGAGAAGCAGCTGAGGGAACTGAGGCTGTTTAGCCTGGAGGAGACGCAGGAGAGATGTTATTGCTCTCTACAACTACCTGAAAGGAGGTTGTAGTGAGGTTGGTGTTGGGCTCTTTTCCCAAGTAGAAAGTGATAGGATGAGAGGAAATGGCCTCAAGTTGCACCAGGGGAGGTTTAGATTGGATGTCAGGAAAAAATTCTTCACTGAAAGGTTACCAAGCATTGGAACAGGCTGCCCAGGGAAGTGGTTGAGTCACCATTCTTGGAAGTATTTAAAAGACATGCAAATGTGGTGCTTAGGGACACGGTGTAGCAGTGGACTTGGCAGTGCTAGGTTAACGATTGGACTCTATGATCTTAAAGGTCTTTTCCCACCTAAATGATTCTATGACTCTATTTCAGTTTTCCTGCCTGAAGTCAAAACATACGTATGGAAGACACAGTCAGTCACTCAGTCCTAAACGCTGTAATACAGTCGCAGACCAGGGCACTTGGTATGGAGTAGCTCACACCAAACCTGGCAATATGCTGTGCTGCATGTCCAAAACACATCCAGCTCCTCCTTACCTGTAGTTACACGTACGTCTTAATCAATCACTGCAAACCCAATGTGAAGTATGCCAATATTACCTAGTTTAAGCCTTTCCCTTGCAATTTCCCACTTGCTGGCATCATAAGGCAGACGTTCACATTGCTCATCTAAGGGGACTTCATCAGGATCCATTATGATTGACAGGTAATGGTTGGTCTTCACTTCAGAGGAATAAGGCTAGAAAACAAAGAATATTGGAAAATGAAAAGAGGATAAGGGTATCTGTCAGCATCTTCTTGTTTGGATTAAGGGCTTTAGGTTAATTCTATCCATGGGTCTGCCTGGATAGTCCAATAGATAGTCTGGTTAAGCTTTGGTTTGGCTTTTTTATATATTGCAAGACTTTTTATGTAAAAGAAACTCCTTCTTCTAGCTTTCCTCCTATGTGACATATCAGTTTCTTCAATGAAATCCATGTGGATCTGTATTAACATATGGTGTTATGATACAGGCCCTCTGCACAGTCAAGAGAAATATTTTCAGCAAATGACTAAATATTGCTGATAAAAATAACTTTCCTTCATGACTGTGCAAAGCAAGAAGTGATCATATGCAACAGATGGAGCTCAACTGACAGTGTTTATTTTTTCCATATACCCAGCAAAGATAGGTCATATTGTGGTTAGAAGTTGTGTAAGACTAGTCGTCAGGAGACTAGACATTATACATTTCAGAACTGTTTACAAATTTTCAGAATTTTTTATTTCTTTGGTATAATTTCTGACAAATTTACTGAAATTATTTGAGCTTGGAGGAATTCATAATCACCCAGACTCAAACACAAAATTTCAAATTAATTTGCCAGAAGTTCAGTTCCTACTGAGCAAATGGATTAACCACAAGAAAAAAATTAACTTCATCTCAAACTTTTCTGCAGTCCATCCATTTTGAAACATATTTTCCTTCAAAGAGCACCTAGATTGCCGTTGTAATCCACTGGACTTTTCTTGATACACAAGTACTTACATTTCTATAGAAAAAGCCTAGTGTTTGCTCTAATTTCCTGGCTATGGAATTTATGGAAAATCTGTTGAACTAAGCTTCTTTGTGAAGCTTTTCCTAAACTCAAGGAAATGGCACGCGAGTTCAGAGACAAACACATAGGTATATCTGCATATGCTTTTTGTTGTTGCTTTAAGTGCCTCCCATGATTTTCAACTTTTCTCCTCTACAGCTTGGAAATATGTCCCTAATACACATATTTCCAGTCATTTGTTTGAAAAGGATATTGGTGTGTATGCTTTGATTACAAACATAACTAGAACTAAAATGACAGTAGCTAATAGCTCCTGTTTTAGTTGTCTTTCACTATTGCAAATAACCAGAAAGTTAGTCCCAGGAAGGAGTGGACTGATGCTTGGGGAAAAATCAGGTGGCATAAAGCCTGACTCCAAACCATCTGCTGACCCTGAACAGGACATGGATAAGTGGGATACAGACAGAAACAGGGGATGTGATGGTCCAAGAAGAGCTTTTTTTTTTTTTTAGAGATGTGTACACCAGACTGCTTGTACCAGTCACTTTAGAAGAGCTTCCAAGTGGGCCCAGTCCAGAAGAAGCAGCAGGGTAATGGGAAGGTGTAGGGAGCTTCCTACAGTTCTTTATCCAGATGTACTGAATACCAAAACCTTGGCACAATTAGACATTTGAAATAATATTTTGAATGATGAATAATCATTAAGTTTATCATTTATTCCCATATGCATAATAGTCAAGCTTTAAGGAAATGCTCTCAGAGAGCATGTAAGTATTTTTTCTATTGTGGCAATGTAATCTGTATGTGAAATTTAGTTTGGAGTTAATTCCAGACATGAATCCTTGAGAGTAAAGTTTTGTAATAGAAACACAGAGAAGACCATAAACTTAGACCAACATTAGCTGGAAAGGAGCATTCACATATCATCTTGTTAAAGTCCCTTGCTCTACAGCAGTGATGATTATTAATATTATTAATGATCTTTTAACAATGTAACAAACAAATGTCAAGTTTTGGTATCATAACAAATAATTTCAAAAATTTGCAAACCTTTGCTATGTTTAAAACCTACATTTTTCCAAGAGTTTGCAGTCATGTTATGAATCATCATTACCAGTGAGCAGTCAGAACTGGTCCCACTTGCTTTACTACAGTTTCTCCAGAGCTTCATTTGACCTCTACGTTTTTTCCCCCAAAAAACTCTCATCCCTTATGGAAGTTTGTAGCAGTAGAAAGGCAGGTAGAGTGACTGCTGCCATACTGCCCCGGTTTGGAGGTCTGGTGCTGCTTTCCCATCAGTCAGTAGAAGTTCTCAAGATAACAGGCAGGCCTTAAAGTAGGTTGAGATAAAATGGTCTGGCAGACTGCAGTCAACCTTTAGCAATCATCGTGGAGCTTGGCCAGCTGGAATATGCTCAACCGTGGTAGCTGTGGGCTGATCCCCGTGGCTGGGAAAAGAAGGGCAGCTGGGGCTCAGCATCACTTGGGTGTGGGAGTCCGGAGGGACATGAAGCTATTCCTCATCTCACATCCTTCCGTGCACCCATATCTCCTTTCCCTCAAATCCATCTGATCCTGCAAGTTGCTCTGAGATCTTTCTGCATTGCTGAGGAATTGTATTTTCTGCTTATGAGAGCTGCTGTTGTTTAACCTGCGCACACCATGCAATGCAGACGTGCTGTCAGCAGAAACGGGCTTTAAATCATCATGGTCAGCCTTGGAAAAGAACAAGGGTCGGCTGCAGGGGCAGTTAATGTTATCATGCTTTAATGTTACCAGGCTTCAGAGCCCGCACCACCAAAACTACTTCAGTAAAATATCACTTTGGAAGTGGTGTAATTATACCAGACACTGTGTGCAAACCAGACCTCAGCACACTCTGTGAAGATCTGTCATTCCTACTCATTCAGATCTTCAAAGACATCCAGATGCCAAAACCCCCACATCTTTTAAGGCAATGGGGATGCCTTTGGTGGGAGTCAGGCACTCAAATGCTTGTGAGTCTCAGAGCCTTGCTCCCACCCAAGCTTTTCTTTCTGGCTTACTCTTACTCAGCCTTGCGTATCACAGTTCTCTGGGCATCCATTAACAGCCCGGTGATTGTACAGGGAACAAAGACGAGCAGTAAGTGAACTAGATTTTTTTTTTTTTTATAGACTCAGCAATCCCAGTGGCCTGGGAAGAATTTTCTAACACAGACAAAAGGCTGGTAAGGAAAGGCAGGTGCTGCCTGGAGGTCCCTGTCAGTTCTTACCCTCTTCAGCTTGCGAATGAAGAGAGTCAACAGGAGCCAAAAGAGAGTTGCAGCCACGCAGGTACAGGACAGGGTTATTAGCTCCAGGTTTGACCTTTCCGGTGTGCCTGGGAAAATCAAGTGGCACACATTTTAGAAAACGACCTGCAAAGCAAGGGCACTTGATGTTTTTTTGCCATTAAAATAAAATACCAGGAAGGACCGGCTTCTTTTCAATGGGGTATTAATCTCTGTTTGGACTGGCTCACAGACCCTGCAAAAAAATGGTCTCCCTAACAAAGCCACTGTACTGAACACAGCAAAATTACTTTTGATCCATCCATAAGTTTTTCAGTAAAAAGTCAGCTCTTCCTTGGAGCACCAGGAGGTGAAGTAAACAGGTTGAGGATGACCAGTCAGATGATAATTTCCTTTTGAGGTAGAAATTCAGCTGCAGGTTATTTTTAGCCAGATTTTCTTTGTGTGAGAATGTGTGTGGGCCTATGCATGCAGCTTCACCACCCCAGCCCCCCAAGAGCAAAACCCATCTGGCCAAGCCCACATCCAGGAGGGGAGCAGAGGTCTCGACAACACTCTCTCCAGCTGCCTCGGGAGAAGAGCCGGCTGCGCGGAGAGGATGGCTCTGACTGATATGGAGGATGGCACTGAGAGCTGCTGCTAACACACAGGAGAAGCTCCAGGGAGCGCTTGTGCTGGTGTCGACACTGATGAATCCAGGTGTGACCTGGGACACACTGCAGTGCTGCTGCTGCTTGAGTTTTGCTGTCCAGCCCATTCGATGCCTTTCCTCGGACATGGTGCTGGCTCTGCCCCAGCTCAGCAAGTCCTTCCATGCTGGTGGCTGAGCCCTGCAGCCCACATCTCTTTGCTATCCATGCTGCAAACCCACCAGCCTCACCACAGACCTCTTTGGGGGAGAGCTGGAGGTCCCTTGGAGGTTTATGGTGCAACCAGCAAGAGTCTATGAGCTCCTATTCTCCTTGCCTGGATGGATCTGGTCCTGTGAGCTCAGCTCATATGAGGATGTCACGGATGTCTCGAGTCCCATCCCCGCAGAAGCCTGAGGGGTAGAGTCTAGTGCTCCCTCCAACCTGCTGGTCCCCAGCAGGCTCTGTGCCCTCAGCTCTCCTGCCAGTCACACCAGCAGCACAGAGCCAGGCTCCCCAAGGGGACACAGGACCCTCTCCTTTCCCAGCAGCACCCCACAGAACCCAGCAGTCGGGGAGCTGGGAGAGCTCTCCAAATCAGGGAACAGATTAAGCACAGAAAGTGAAAAACAAAAACAACAACAACTGAAAATGGAGCAGCAAGAAAACATGAACGTTAGAAATCTGGAGAGTATTAGAGCCCACTGACAGATCTTTAAAAAAAAAGCCAAAATAAAATTCACTTCAGACTGCTATTCAGGGACTCATAAAATGGTTTCAGAGCAGTCTGTTTTGCAAATCCTGTGATCGTGTCAAAATACCACACTTCCCACAATATGTTTTCCATCTGATCAGTAGCAAAAGCAAAAAAAAACACAACCCACAACCCTCCTGCTCTGTCTCTTTTTCTGATGCACCCTCCAGAGAGAAAAAATGAGAGGACAAGAAGGAGTAATTCTGAACATGATTTCACAGTAGTTTTGTTAACTGTGCTTGCAGCAGTTTCAGACACTGAGCAGCTCAGTTTTATTCCTTATGGTTGATGTCTCACTGATGGGCTTACTGGGTAATCCAGAGGGATGTGCTGTCTGGTTTTAGGCAAAGCTACAGAGCTCTGTTCAGAGGTTGAATTGCTTCCTGTAGCTGTAGCTTAACTCGCATAGTATCTTGCCTCTCTGAAGGTGATAATAAGATTTGTGTTCGTGCCCTATATCTAAGATTCCCCTGGCATGTCCATTCTGGAGCTTTGAGAATAAAGCTCACTGTAGAAAAATACAACTGCAACTACAAATGGAGATATAAAGTAGCTATTACTCCAAGATATCAAGAGTTTTAATTTTTCCACAAGTATTTTTTTAAAGGCTTGATATAAATATTGGATATAGTGATGGTGCAAATGATACAGCCCAATGCAGGATACCTATTCTCTAGTGTCAGGCTTTCTCTTTACATATGGAACCTCTCCCCTTGCTTCTGAGCAGCACCCAGGCAGATGGTGAGTAATAATTTCTGACATTTATTCAGCGAAACCTGGAGGGGCTGAAGGTTCATTTGTTGCTGCTGCTCCATATGGCGGGACTCAGAAAACCCATGAGGCACGGTACAGCCAGTCCTGGGGTGGAAGGCAGCAACTCCCTAATCGCTACTGTATGCTGCCCAGAAGTAAGAGATGTGAAGGTGCTGTCCTTGAAATGTTCGAGAGAATTTAGGCAACCAGAAAGCATTTATTCCATATTGGACTGGGCTATCAAATGCCAAATTCCTAGTCTTGCTAAAACCTTTGCAGCCAGAGTTGGCTGAGTGCCTCTCCATTGGGTAGGAAAAGGTTTGATTTGAGGCAGAACAGGCAGACACACTCAGAAGATGGTTTAGGATTAGCAGAGTTTGGAAAGGCTGTAAGCAGGACTAAATCCTTCTCACTGAACAGTAGCCCAAGATTTCTGGCTCCTACTTATACCCCTGCCAGACATTTACTCACCAGCCACCTCATCAGACACAGACTTTCCCCACGTGCAGCTCTGCCTCATGTGCCTGATGCGCTGCAGAATGCAGCAACCCCCTTCCTGTCCCAGAGCCCCTCCAAAAGCCTTATCCTCAGTGCTGCAGAGGGGCGAGGGACAAGTAAAGGAGTGCCACTGGCAGCAGCTTCTCCCTCTCAGCCGTGACAGGTGCCACCAGGACCGTGCAGACATGCTGGGACAAGATCCTGGACTAATGCACTGACCCCTCCAGGTAAGAGTTCAAGCCTTGGGCTGGCATGGGCTCTGCCATTAGGATTTCAGCTCTAAATACTGAGGTGCAGCTCTGTGTCAGGTGTCAGTCAGGGGAAAAGCAGTGCCTGGTGCACTAATGCCACTCTGCTGCATCCAAAGCATCCCTCACCCCTACACAAGTGTGATCTACCCTGCTTAATCTGTGTGATCCCACGATCATGGCAGTGCAGCTCAGGGATGGCTGCTCAGAGATGCTGAGGAATTTCCAACCTTGGAGTTTTTCACAACCTGTTCAAAGCCATCACCGACTGGATATAGTGTTGGTGATGATCCTGGTTTGAGTTGAGGTTGAACTAGGGACCTCATGGACTCCTTTCCAACACCCTTTGGTGGTCTTCTGAGGAAAAAGAAGTCGAAATGTCCCCTGATGTTCACCTGTTCTCTTACAGTCATACACATAGCCCAGGCTGAACCTCACTCGGTAGCTGAGGGAACTCCAGTTCATGGAAACATTCCTGATGACTTCAGAGTCAGTGTGATCCAACAGCTTTTTGAGATACTAAGTCATAAGGGCAGACAGGTAGTGAAAGAGTTATTTAAAAAGCAAACACCATTTTCCTAGTGTCAGAATAGTTCAGCGAATGCTTCATAAATGCCATGGTTTCCTTTTCATGGGATCACATTAAGTTATCAGGCATCGGCTTCAAGACAGTGCATTTGCTGTATTCATCTGCTTGTTATGTGCCGGGATTTCAGTGAGGCTGACCTGTAGAAGACGCTCCTTATTTCACCAACACATCCCCTTCAAATGGTGCAGCACCTCTGCAGCTGGCCATTTTGCCAGCCCCTGCGGAGAGGGAGTGTGAGGCTCCCCAGGAGGAGAAGCAGGGCAAGGCTTTCATGGCAGGTCATTCACTCTGCAAGCAAAGTGACCACCTGAAGGAGAGCTGGTCAAGACAGCCTGTGAGCCTGTGTTTCCCCTGTGCCCAGGAGCTTGTGTCCTCAAGCTTTTAGTGACATACTCCCCTCTGCCTGCTGGGTGCTCTGGCAGCCATTTGCTGTTTCCATTCTATCCTTGTAGATCTGCTGCCTCTTCAGTTCCTCAGCCAAGAGCAAGAGGACAGTTTGCTCTAACATGTCCACAAACGCAGCCCCTCTCCTCAGACAGTCTGACGAGCACGGCTTCCAAACCAAACATGGGTTGCAATTATTTAAAGACGTCCCTTTGATTCCACCATCCATTCATCCATCTCGGATACAAAAATAACACATTGTTTTATCTGTGAGTATAAGAATGTTTTTTTGGAGGAAATAAAGAGAGCAGACTGTTTCCTTCCTGACTCATTCACGAACTACTCTTCCAATCTGCTAAACACGGCCATCGACACGAGGCTTTGCTCTGCTCCCTTTGATCTGCAGCCCTGCGCTCCGAGAGCCGCTGGGACAGAGGGAAGGCTTTGGCACTCACAGCAGCAATTGCAGGGTCTGTATTTCTCAGAAAGACAAGCAAGTGGAAAAGCCTAGTGAGAGGCACACGCTTAAACCCTGATCTCGTCCCTCCATTCTCAGCGCTGGGGTGAGAAGCTGCTGTTCCCTGGGAGAGGGGCAGATGCTCCAGATGAGTGTAGGAACGAATGAAAAAATCTCCACGGATGTCCCTTCACGTCCCTTCATGGAAAAAGAAAGGGTGGAAAAGCATTTGCTTTGATCATAGTAGGTGAGACAAACTCTCTTTCTTTTTCTCACTCAATATCAAATCTATAAATTTTAATAATGGTAGTCTTCATCTCCTGCTTATTTAACAGTTGCCACAGGACTCACCAAAGAGTGTTTCCAGTGGTCCCTCAGGACATGTAACCAGAGAAGAAGCCTTCCTCACTGCTCTCTTTTCTCTCCTCTGGATCATCGACTAGGAGATATGACTTCCTAGAAGCCATCTGACAGAATGCTTGTGGCTGTAATAAATAGCCGAGCTACAATGTTGTTAAAAATCAATACGATAATGAATTACGTTGTCCAGGACTATCAATTAATGGGATGCATTGGACAGCAAGCACTTAGGTACGAGTTATTCTTTTAGCCATTATAGCAGCCATAAAAACCTTTAACATTACTCATAAGAAGATAAGTGTTTTTAACTCCTTGGTTACACCAGTTAGGCCAGCCCATAGGTACATATACTTATCCCTAATCTTTTAAAGCAAACCCATTACTGTATAATCAACGACCACCAGTGCTAACACACTCATTGCAGTAAATCAATACTGATTTACAAGCTGAAATTGTCTTTTGCTGTAGTATCCAAATACTCAGTAGTACTCAGATACATTTAGCAATTATGTAAGGACATACACCAAGAGATGGTCCCTGCCTGAGAGATCTGGTGGTAATCAAGACTGGGTGGTAATCAAATTCTTCTATAAAGAGAAACTAAATGGATTTAAGACTATTTACTTAACAAATGTGATCAATAAGACAGGTTATGTCAAATTCAGCTCACACATGGCACTGTCTTATACGGAATGTCAACTACTTCTCTTATAACACATGAACCAAAAGGGTGTTCAGTGAAACTGAAAAGTCACCGAATAAACTTTATTTATATGCAGTGTAAAATTACTTGATAGAAGTCACTGCCACAGGCCTGAGTTAAGCTTGGCAGAAGGCAAAATAATGCTGGATGTTTAAATGAATAGTAAAATAACTCAACTAATGGTTACAGAAGTAACTGCCTCATCCGTGGAAGTGCTCAAGGCCAGGCTAGATGGAGCTTTGAGCAACCTGTTCTAGTGGGAGGCGCCCCTGCCCATGGCAGGGAACTAGATGGTATTTAAGGTCGCTTCCAACTCAAACCATTCTATGATTCTTATGATTCTATGAATTAGATCATACCTACTTCTCAACACAAATATGTTTGAAAAATGCGTGTGTAGCTATTGCTAGGCTAAAATCTTCTCGTCCCATTTTGCAGTTCAATTTACATTGAAAATAAACAAATGAAAATATCCCAGGCCTCTAATTTCCATGGAATTAACCTGAAATGGGAAAATGAGTGGGTAGGAAAATGTTCCTTATTCTGTTTTTTGTTTGTTTTGACAATACTAAATTTACATTTGTCTTCTACCCTGACCTGATCTTTGTTGGGTTGAAGCAATTCTTCTTTTTAGGTCAGTGTAAACACGCTCTGAGTTAGCATTTCCTGCTAAGCTTCCTTTCCAACCTGGTATGCTTCCGTTGCTAGGACTTCCTTCAAATTGCTTCTTTCAGAGATCACCACATGAGCCCCAAGTCACACCCCCGCCTTTTCAGCCTGAGTTGGAACATCACCCTGGCAAGCTTGCTCTTCTCGTTTAACGTCATGCTTTACCTTGTACGGTGACATACGCTGCACTCTCCACAGACCCTTTTAAGTTAGTGGCTATACACTGGTAAAGTCCTTCATCCTCCTCCTTTACTCTTTCAATAAACAGCATTCGGCTTCCAGGCCCTAAAATTATTCCTGTGAAGTGAAATATTTTGCAATGAGAGGGAGCCAGGATATAAACAAAAACAAGCCCTTGTGTAATAATATCTGCTTCAAGTTCCTCTCAAAAGAAATCTGAGCCACAGGCTGCACAGCACACTGTTATCTGCAGGAAAGCCAAATATACTTGGATGTTTTGGGAATCTTTTGGAAATTGGTGTTTACAAAGCACTTGCGTGAGTGAAAAAGCTCAGCCTAAGGGAATGATTTTGGGAGCACTTGATACTATGTATATTGATTAGCACTGCACCTAGACTTTCATCCAGATGAGTTTCAGCTTTTGGAAAATGAGTGGTTTGATTACTGTACTTAAAAATGAGTGGTTTGATTACGGCATAGGTCTGCCCCCAAAGCAGCTCAAACTTATACCACTTCCAAGACCCAGCTCCACGCATCCACACTGGTCTTACAGGCAGCAGACTTGCTCCAAATCTCACTTGCCCATGTGGCATGGAACGATGGAGCCCTTTGCAGAAGGACCCCCAGCCAGTGCAAAATGAAGTCCCATGAGGTGTACCCTAAACCACAGGAATTACCTGAAGTTTTCAGCATCTTGATTTTTCCAGCTAGGTCAACCCAGTTGCCAGCCTGGGCAATACGCCAGCAAGCAAGGAAGAGGCAGGGAGCAGATTTGGCCTCAGGACTGCCCCCAAGGCACCACACGGCCAGGAAATGTGCAGTCAAGTACACACTTGTGTGTTTGGCTCCATCAGTACTGTCCTCTCAAAATGTATTCCCACCGTCTATTTCAGGCATCTAACTAAAGTGCTCTGACCTGCCCTCTAGAGACATCTTCCTGGCTCCTTACTTTATGTGCTGCATTACACCCAAGCTGGGCATGTAACATCCAGTTAAAAGATGGCGTTAATAATGCCCATTATGATTACAGTGGTCACTGTAAAGCTTCATGGAATCTGGCTCCCGATTAGGCTGAGCGCCTGGGCCGTAAGTCTGCACAGGCTTATAATTCACTTGGAGAAATCCTCAGAGGTTTTCCCCATTGCTTTTATTCATGCTACAGTAATTTCCAGTAATGCAAGACAGAAACATAAACATAAACTTTCTTAAATGTCGTTATTGAAGACTACATCTAGGACTCAAGTTGCTACAGACCAAGCCTCCTTGAACACTTTTGCTGAGCCTGTAACACTACCTCATTGCATTCTGATGTGAATACAGATGAATTCCCATGTGAAAGTTTTTGCTTCTTCCCCATAATCACCTGAAATCTCCAAGGAACACTTCTGTGACTGTGGTGCCAGCAGAGCTGAACATGGAGCTTTAGCTCATCTTTGAAGTTACATTCCAGACACAGCAGTAAACATCTCCCAGCACTTTTTCTGTAGCTGCAGCATGCCACCTGGGCAGTCGTTCCTTTCTGCTGTGTCAGACCTGGATTCCTCTAGTGCCAGCAGACACATTTAGCTTTTGGACATCCCAGATATGAATTTGGTCTGGTGGCCAGGTTGTGAATCAAGAAAAGACTTTGCATGCCTGACCACAGACTCCTCCTGCTACTCCTACGCACATCATGCAAGACTGGGTTTATTCTGCCAAGACACCCAATCCTTATGCTCCCTCTATAGTAAACAGAGAGGAACATTTTTCTCTGGAGATGACTCTTGTAAGATGCAAATTAAGAGCTATATTTTCGCTGCTGACTCCATAGAGATTCATTGTGTCTACATGTCCAGCTTGGCTGAGGTTTTGGAGTAAGAAGGAATAACCCTGAGTGCCCGTGCTGCTGCCTGCCTCCCTGTAACATCCGGGCAATACCCTTTCCTTGTGTCAGGCACCGATGCCAATGGCTCTGCAAACGGCTACCTAAGGCAGACAGGCAAATAAAAAGCCTATAAAAGGTCAGCAAATACACAGAGCTCTCACCTGATTCTTGCTGTATTTCCTCATGGTTTTTAAACCAGGATATCTGGGGCTCGGGGATGCCACGAACCTGGCACTCCAACATGGCAGATTTGCTGGTGTTCACTGTCTGATCCGTGAGATGCCGCAGCAGGGCTGGTGCCTCTTGAGCTACAAGACAAAACAACACCTCCGTTTTACATTCTTGTAACTTTGGGGGTTTCATTATCTCCCCTACCAGCATTTTACTGATGATAGAGATTGCTATGGCTGTTCTACCAAGTTTGTTTTTCACAGATTTTATTTACCATTCCAGCTTGCTTAAGAACATTTCGTGTGTTCGGAACATTCCCACTACTCAGCAAGAGAAGGTTATGATGACCAATGAAGACCCAACGATGACATTGTTTAAAAGATTTCCTCATTTCCATTACCAACCACATTTGTTTATCGAAAGCAATTAGTTGCTATGAAAGCTCAGTTTTGCATCATCAAAAGCAACAAACAGTGACACCGAAGTTTTTAACAATTAGCGGGACAGCCTTGTAGAGGATTATCTCTCCACAACCGATAGCACCATATGGCTCTGTACACCACAATACCCGTGAATGTGACTTCTGCCATTTACTTACTTCAAAGAGTACAGCTACAAATCCTACTCAGTAAACTCACATCATCTAAACCCAGAAACCATAAGCACAAAAGCATAGCGTGACATGTCCCAAAGTCTTCAGAAATTATTCCACTTTTGCGTTTCACATATTTGGCTGAAGGCAACAAGGCCTGGCCAAACCACACCACAGCCCGCCTGCCAAAACTGCGTTGGTGAGAAATGCCCCCAGGTCCTCTGGCATCCCACAGACACTGGAAACCCTGATGGCAGAGGCTGAAGCTGAGTGATAGCTGGCCACACAGCATAGCAACACCCCTCCCGTGTTACTTTTATCTACCGACATTCATACGAAAGCAGCATAATAAAACACATTTCCATGACAGACAGTGACAATGAATATTGGTAGCGCATCTCATCTGTTCTGCTTCTGCTCAAGGGCCTCCCAGAAGGGCATTTCAAAAACACTCTATAAACATCATGTTAAAGTCATCCCTGAAAGAAGAAAAACAACAAATTTTTCTCACTGTCATTTCAACCCTTTGCCACGCCTTTTCCCATTTTGTGCAGAGATGAGGGCTCTTCTGACGAAGATCACGGTATTTGCAATGTTTGTGCACATTATGTGGCAACTTCTTTCTGTCACATTTCCAACTCTCACATCATCCTTTTTGGTATTTTGGTCCCTTTAAAGCAGTGGCAGAGAATCCAGGGAGGTCCTGAGCAATCTCAGAGATGTAGATGCTCTGCAGATTCCCTCAAATTCCCCGGTCTTGCAAGAACCAATTATT